AGAAGCAGGACCAGAAAATTGTCACTTAGAGATGCATTAAAAGAGGAATTTTTGCCAGCTGCGTTCTCTCATTTGCTAAAAACATTTGTGCGACTGTAATTACCACCCTCGCCACACTTCATAGCATATTTTATTTCAGTTTGAGATGTGTTTTCCATATACAACATCAATCTGAAATTTTAAGCTGATTTTTGTGGTAACTGTTTTTTGTTTTTTTGGGTGAGTAACTTCCAACCAGAAATGTGCAAATTTTCAAGGACAAACAAAACCACTGCAAAACAGGAATGCTAAATTGTTAATCTTACAGTTGTGTGTTTTCTGTGCTTCATTTATCCCTCAATTGTTTTGGATATTTTTAATTTAAAAGAATTTATTTTTCACGCTGCAGCAGAAACATGCGTTTCAGTACCTGAATGAGGTAAAAAGTAATCATCTACAGGGTGCAGCCTTCATTTGCACAACCATGTTTTTGATCATGTCTTAGCCTGAATTCTGTCTGATGACTAAGAAACAAGAGAGCCTTTAAACAAGTGGTGATGAGACAAGTGTTCCGTGATATGACTAGAAAGAAAGCTTGCAACCCTGAGGTCACTCCTCAGATCCCTTGTACTAGGCTCTATGGAGGTTCATTAATGTCAAAACTACTTCGGCAGCACAAAACAAAGCCAGGCAGTAATCAATCTAGTGCTGAGGATGTGTGAGCTCACAGCGAAAGATTTCTAAGCATAAAACATGTTCTTGAATTAGCCTGTGAGGGGGGAGCTGTCAGCGAATTTTTGCCAATCTTCTGGTTGTTAGGGTCATATATTTTCAAAGTTAAAAAAACAAAACAGATGTACTGATGTAAGGCTGGGTCTGTGACACTGTGCTTTTTGCTCAACTCTAGTGGAGCTCGTTCCGCTCTCAGCTGCAGTTTGCATGAAAGTAAAAAACTACTAAAATTGAACAAAAAGCTTTGAAGAGGCCAAGCAAAGAGAAACACTATTGCTCACTCAAATTTTGGACTCAGTTCTCCTTGTAGACTCAAACTTTGATTTACTATTCTGTCCTTGTTTCCTCCTCAAAGCACAAAGCTCTGTACTCGCTTCCTATTAAATTCAGTCAAGTTCAAAAGTCTTGTGCTCAGAGCCTTGGACGGTCAGCACATACCTCTCTATATAAAAAACCTCTGTTGCTTAGTAATACCAGCAGGAAACTGTTAGTGACAACCGGCCTAAAATGGTAACATTTTGTCTGCATAGTTGCAAAGTGATTTTAAAACAGATAACTAGACTAGATAGTGACATTCTTTCCAACCAGCCAATCAGTTGTCCAGTCATACCTTTTCTTATAAATTGAGTTACGTTCACACTGCAGGTCTTAATGCTCAATTCCGATTTTTTGATCAAATCCGATATTTTTGTCTCTGCTTGTTCACGCTACAAATAAAATGCGACAGCAAACGCGCTCTAGTGTGAACGCTCAAAGCGGCCCGCATGCGCAAAAGAAGACGTCACACACAACGTGCTCTGTTTAGACCCAGAGCAAACAGTATTGTTTGACTGATGGCCTTAATATAAAGACTTTACGTTTCCTAATTTTTGCTTTAAGTTATTTTGTTATTTACATAATAATTTAGATAACCTAATAATTATCCTTATTGCTGTTTTAGAGGAGCGGTGCTTCAAAGGATAGTTGCAGATTTCTGTCAGAATCTGCAGATTATACAGTACAAATAAAATGTTCACGTTTCTCCAACGTTGTCTTCCAAACAGTTTCACTGACATCTACACGGAATGGCCAGGAAGCGATCGCGATGTCTTCTGGGGTGCTTCTCCGGCGCTGATAATTGGCGTCGGCCTTGTGTCAGTGATGTAGAAGACGGATTTAATGCGACATGACCGTTCAAACAGCAGTCGCTTTCTAAAACATCGGATATGTATCGGATTCAGTACCGCATACGAAAGTGACCCAGATCGGATTTGAAAATATCGGATTTGTGCTGTTCACACTGTCAAACCATGATCGGATATGGGTCGCATAGGGTAAAAAAAAAAAAATCTGATTTAATGCGCTTTCGTCTGCAGTGTGAACATAGCCTTAGAGTCAGTGATTTGAATTTCAGTTTTGATTTTGGCTTCTAATGATTACAAAAACAAGATAACTGAATAAAACCTTTCAGTTATTTGGATGAATTTTGGCTATGAACCTGTTGTTTTGTGTTATGAATCAGCCGCCTTTACAGTGCTCGTCCCTAAAAAGCTCAACCATGCTCACAGTTTAGTTTAACTCAAGGCAAGATGACAGAAGGAGGTTTGTGGTTGAAAATATTTATCTAGAAGAAGCAGGTTGCTGTAAGTGATCCTGTAGAGGGATCATTAGTGATTGCCTGCAGCTGCCTTTGACTCCTTATCACCTGGGATCACTGAGGGTTTATCCTTGTTCTGCTTTCAGCATGAGAAGAGGAGGAGGAGGTGTTGGTTGGTCATCGGCTTCAGCTCTCCAGCATTTTCGCCCCCAGGCTTCACTGCAGGTTTCCTGAGGTGCATGAATCCACTGAGGCATGAGCTTCTTTTACCACAGACTGCACTTGCAGATGTCTAATGGACCCGATCGTGTGGACTGGCAGACATCTCTTTTTTCATTAATTTATTAGCTTTTCATGTGAATAATGGAAATCTCATGTAAAAAGACACTTTTTTAAAAACGCCACTAAATGCATATTGCGTGCTTAAGTTAATGAATGTTTGATGTAATATCCAGATTGTGATTCTTGCTATAATCATTGAGCCCTAAAATACAAATTAACAAATCTTTTATATTTTTAATGCATTTGTTGTCTAGTGCTCGGTCTAATTACCTTTATGTCTATCAAAAGACATAGAAAGTCAACATTGCTGAAGGAACTTGAGGCAGAAAGCCAGGTTAATTATCTGTACACCTTTCATTATGTAGCTGTTTTCAATCATAATGTGACATGAATGGCTTGAATAGACATGCAAACAATAGTCATTGAATGTCAGAATGTTTGCTGGAGAGGTTCTCCGATTAGGGTTTGATGGTTGTTTTCTCGCTCCAGTCTCAACAAGAAAGGAGACTGTCATAGTCTTTCAGTCCTCGTGGTACTCCTGCCAGTTTTCCTCGCTCTCCACCATGACTCTCTCTCTCCTCTGTCTGTCTGTTTGTGGGTGTGTGTGTGCGTGCGTGCGTGCACGCCCTTGCAGAGGCAGGATCCTCTTGGTCCCCGCCCTCCGGCACACCTGTGGTAATTAACTCACCTGCTCCTCATCTGGTGTTTGAGTCGCGGCAGATGCTTACCTTCATTACGTAAGTCTGCTCACCTGTTTCCATGTGTGCACCTCTCACCATCTCTCTTCTGTCCAGCAGTCTTCCCTGTTTTCCTCGAGGAGGATTTGTGTGTGTGAGTCGGAGAGAGAAGTCTGTTTCATTATCGAATCTAAAGACTGAGTGGAACCTATCGGACCATCGACTTGGATACCGTACATAGAGACTGTGGATGTTTCCCTTTTTTGAAAGGCACTGCAAATAGCTTTTTCACATCACTGTTAATAAACTCTCCGAACTGCCTTCTGAATCTGCATTTGAGTCCTGCCTGCTCTCGGACTATGACAGGAGACTGTGCTTTTGAGGCTATATCTCTTAAACGTCAGATCTGCAGGCACCTTTAGAAAGCAACTGAAAGCAATTTGTTTAGATTTAGGTTCGGCCTTGTTTCGCCTTGTGTTTTTATCTGCCTGTGTGCATTTAATGTCTGGCTGCCTCATATTTTGCTTTTTAACCGTTTCTTATTGTGAAGCGCTCTGTGACATATGCTCTTTAAAGGTGCTATAAAAATAACGCCGACTCACTTTCCCAAGAGTCGGTCCCTGCAAGACTTCAAATCTAGACCACCAAATGCTTTCTTTCTCCCTTTTTGTTTGTTTGTTTTCACTCGCTCAATAATTCTGCCATTAATGAACTTCCAAAGATGGGAATTATGCATGAGGTCGGGGAGAATGGGAGACTTTCCCCTCTTACTCACACAGCTGCAGTCAATCATACAGTAGTACTAGTGCGCATCCCCACTGATGCTGCAGTCACGCATCCCAGGCTGTAATTTATTTTATGCCGTTAATAACACATAAGACATGCTCGCTGCACACATATGCATATGTTAGTCATTAAAAAAATGCATTCATATACGATATATTGCAATACTTAATATATGGAAACAGGACATCATACACTTCATTACAACATTTTGACATGTAGTATAATCAGTGTGCCACAACACTGATGTTACACTGCAAACTGTCCCCCATCATGGACTTCACTAAAGTTAGAGAACATAGCTGAACACTGAGGATGAAGATGGACAGCTCTGTACCTTTTACCCTAATATACTTGGCAATATAGAGTCATTGTCAGTTGAGTAATTACAGTTATGCTTTATTTATGACCACAGCGCTCAAACAAAATGAGCAGGCAGCAAAATTCCTTTTATTCATTAATTTATTGAAGTGTCAGAGGAACTTCAGAAGTCTTCTGACAGCAGGCACAAATCAGTTTACAGCCCCTTTACCGTTTATTGCTGCGGCTAAACGTGTTCCCTTACACACAGTAATACATTATGACCTTCAGCCTCCAGCCATTTAGATTTTTAGACTATTCATTTTCTGTTACTCTGTGTTTATGCGATTTACCCGCATGCTGGAGTAGGTAGTAATTATCTCACATTCTTGAAATGATTCATAATGCTTTAACATCTAAATCAAAATGCCAGCAAGCAGGGTGCTCTTAGAATACATTTTTATCATCAGCACAAACAAAACATCAGCTGTTTATTAGAGGGAACGATATGCATGCCCAAATCATTTGAGAAATAGCCTGGAGGATGCAACTGCCTGTCCTGTTCATTAATTTAGTAACTGCTGCAAAGATGCCATAATATCACGTCTCTCCAAAATACTCCCCAATGTTTGCCTTTCGCTTCCCAAGCCATTTTTGTTTGTTTCATGTCTTTAGTCAGAAAAAGCCACATCCCGCCTCTCTGTTTTCTCATGCTTTCGCCTTTCCTTTTCTCGGTAATATTCCTCTTTCAAATCCTCCCTGTTTCTGCGTGTCCAGCCTTTTGACGTGATGTGATACATGTCCACACAGTTTCCAGAATATGCATCCCTATACGTAGCTCTGTACACAGCTTCTCTAGCTATTGACTTGGCCTCATCTACTGTCAGCCCCCAGTGAACACCTTGGTCCAAAATTGAGTAGGCATAAGGGGATCCTGAGCCCACAGAGAAAAGCATTCCCCGTAGGCGAGTACCATCACTGCATACATAAAAAAGCCTTGGTCCAGATAAATTCATTTTCTTTCTGATGGAGCACTGCTGAGAGAAAGAAAAGCATTCATCCTTTGCCAGAGAAACCTTTGCATTGGTGCTATCTACAAAGTTTTTCTGCTCAGTCATTTGATTCTTTGTTGTTTCTCCTCGACTACCAGGACCAGTCTCTGTGCCTCCATGGTAATCACATCCATCGTCCACCTCTCCTCCATCCCACCCACACAACGTGGCAGCCACACACAGCTCAGTTCCTTTGAAAGGGTGAAGCATGTGCGAAAGCAATTTGGCAGCTCCGCTCGTGGACAACCGTCGACCGTGGCGAAGTTGGTAAAGCCGCAGCTCGCGAGCCAAAATACGTTTCCAAAGCGCACAGTCGGCTGAAGTGCCTGAGGTCAGGCCCACCAAGTGACTGTGAATGGGCAGGATCTTCTGCGAGGCTGGGCACGCGACGAGGCCTGAGCAACTGGAACGAGTGTCTGCTGCAGCCATCACGCCACCCTGGAACATGAACGCCAAGGTGGTGGTGCCATGAGCCATGGGAAAGGGCAGAGGCACAGACTGTGAAGAGGCAAACGGAAGGCATGTTGGCAAGGAGGAGGATGTTAAGAAGGGGTCTTCAGATGAGACGGCGCTGCAGTTCTGGACTGTGCTGATTTGCCCAAACTGTATCGGACTTTCATCTAAGTACTCTGCCACTGGAATATAAAAGTGAAACAAACTTTTGTTATTGCTAAAGGGCAAACCACTCACATAGTTGGAAGGAATCTTTTTTCCATGTGGCACTGCAGGATACTCTGTAGTTAGACGGTCCTCAAAGACAGACTGAAAATTGCATATGTCCTGTAAAGCCATTAAAAGTGATGACCTATGATTTTGTACACCAAAAAAAGAAAAAAGCTACAAAAGCATATTTTTACAGCATTTTCTGCTTGCTTGAAAAAATCAACTCTTCACTAACATCCAATAAAATTGCCTTCAAAAGCTATTCTCTTGTACACATAGGTATGCCATCAAGAGCATATGTGTGTGAAAACAGCAGCCACCTTTTATATAGACCATGTTCGTGTATGTGTGGCTACCTAAAGCAACCCATCAGCAACATTAGCACATGTCATGCCCTTGACTTTGAAACATAAACAGTCAGTGGCCCATGGGTAATTAATTTTGGCTGCCATATCAGGTTGTTTTTCAGATCATATTTCTTCAAAGTCTTGCGTAAGCGCGTTGGCCAAAGAGGACGCAGGGTGATGACAAAGTCTTGGCTCACGTACATCAGATTAAGTCAGCTCTGATGCTTCACTCTTATGGAAAAGTCCCAAATACAATCACTAATAAAGTGAATCAAACAACACTTATTACACATCAAGAGTAAATATAGCCGAGCCCTCGTGGGCGCTAGCCCTTTAAAAGCATGCTAATCACTGAACTTGAAACACCAGAATTTCAGGTAATGCTGCATTGCAATGGTACACCCATTGCACGGCTGTTTGGAAATGTTTTCTGGAAGTGTCAAACAGTGAGAGCCAATGTTACTTACCACTCTGAATGTCAAATTTGCTTGTGGTTTTTATTCAGTTTTAAACAACAACAAAAGATGAATGTGTTTCATGTCATCATTTTTGGACAGATTTTCACTGCTTCTGCTCTAATGGTAAGCAATTTTATTCACTCACTTATTCTGCTCACAGGAGACTGCTCTCGTTTTTTGATATACACTACTACAAGCAGTTAGTAACTAACTGGTGATAAATTTTTCAAATTTGGTTGAGAGAATGAAACTTCTTTCAAGTCTGTTTTCCCTTTATGTTCATTTAAGTGTATTTCTTTTCCTTCTCTTCACCCAGGGACAGTGTGCTTCACAAGTCATTTCAGCCCACAGCAGTGAGACCCCGCCTGACAATTTTATAGGGTTTGACGCCGTCCCTGACAAAGTGGTAGATGGCTCGGTGGTCCGTGTGCGGTATCAGTGCTCTGGGCAATGTCAGCTTGCAGTTGAGGTGGTGGTGTCCACATTGCAGAAGACAGATTTAATGGTCTTCAGGAGAAAATGGAAAAGCAGCAGACTCCGTGACTACAGGATCCACCAGGTGCTGCTCAGACTGCCTCCGTCCATTTCATATCAACGCGACTTTTTCAACAGGAACATTTTGGACACACAGAATGTGACAGTCCGTGGTTGGCTGGGCAGCTTTAAAAATGGCAGTGAACTCAGCACATACCACAGCTCCATGTTGAGGATTTATAAAGCGCTGCAGATAATTCCACCCTCTGAGCGGCCAAGTAAACCTCCCACTGGTTGCCCGTCATGGTCGGCTCAACTAATGTGGCAGATGACCAGCCACAGAATCCATCAGTGTCCACATGAATCAGGTTTGACCCTTAATCACATTGTCATTTCCTCTGCATGTCTCATCTTTATCTCCAAAGCTTTTAAAGAACACATGCAAGTGTTTGCAAATGGAGCCTTTCGCTGTTCTGTTTGATCCCAGACATAATCGATATGCTAAAGTTCCCTCTGGCAAGTACTGGTGAGCGCTTTGGAGTGATCCGCAGGTTCCAGCCTTTTATTGACAGAGCTCTAGAGAGAACCCGGCGTCACGCTGTGACACAGCCCAGGTTGGACTTCTAATTTACCTCATTTTAGCTGGAACTTATTTAGTATGAAGTTCAGCCACACAGCATGAAAAATCTCCAGCTGAGTTTCCAAATGTTGAATCAAAGGATTAAGTAAAACAGAGTGTTTGATATTATATGTTTCAAAGGTACTCTCCGGCCCATTTTCCTCAAATATAAAGTACATAATAGCTCTGCTTTGTGTTTATATCAGCAGAATGACAGGTCACAAGTCACTGATCATTTCCTTTTCAGTGCAGGCATCAGTTAGAACACACTCTACTTTTAGTTTTACTTCAGTGTCTTTTTAAATGACTTTACAAGCTTCACCAAGCCGCTTCACCAGAGCATATAAGCTTTTTACTTACGGTCAATGAAAGACAGCGAGGTCAGGCATTTTTAACAGACAGCGCCGCGTTTTAAATTCAACCTCATGCTTGAGTGGATGAAGAAATGATTTGTCAAATCATGTTTCATTGCTTGGCTTCCAGCGTCACCTTATCTGTGTGGATATACCTACTGAAATGGTGTCAGAAGAAGCTCTGTGGGATCATCCATCATGTCAATAGAAAAAATTTATATGACACAGTTCTGATGCAGCTTACGAACACAGGTGGGTCATGCCAGCTCATGTGTACACCTGATAGGGGATTACAAAGAGGTGTCACAACATGATTGTGAGTGACGATTTGTGGTTTTTGCGCAGATGTGATTTATTAATATTACTAGCACAAAAAATATGTATTAATAAGGAGCTTTGGATCTCCTGTGGTGAAATTCACGACTGTCATATGTGCCGTACAGGGAACATCATAATTCAGGCACGAAAGATAACTGGAGAAGATGAAGCATTTCAAGTTCAAGCAATGTTGCCTCTCTTGAAATGGATTAGATTAGACTATTACATACAGAACTCAGAGGTAAAACGCCAAAGAATGACTCTGGTGGTGGGATGAGGAATAAAAATCAAAATAGTGCTCTGGGCAACATCTTATAGTCATTCTTTTTCTGCTGGGTTTTCTTTGGACTTCTAGCTTTTGTTTCCTTTTGGAACAGCTGTAAGATCTTGAAAGATGGTTTATTTCCAGCTGGGAAACTCCAGGCGATTGCAGTGTGTACTGCAATTTGGAGTTGTTTACAGCTGAGCAGGTTTTTTAGGACTCATGTATTGTTATGTTTGACTTTTAGGTGCTGCTGGAAACCACGTGGGATGGTCAAACTCAGAAACATTTATACAAGTACGATTATGATTTTTGGTATAAAATAAGCAAAACACACTGTTGCCAAGTTTCTGGAAAATAAATATTGTTTGCTCAATGATTGTGATTGCTGGTTTGAGTGGTATTAAATGTCATAGATTTCAGGACAGCATTCATTACGATGACACAGATGGATACTTTGTGATTGGAGGAGGCAGTTACTTACAAGGCATCCGTGGGTATTTTGGGCCTATCAGATACTACCGTTTTGGAACCAAACAGGTAAAGTGTAAAGAGGTAAAATGTATTCATTTGCTTTGCTTTCTAGCACAGCCTCACTCTAAAACAGTGTATTATGATCTCAAGGTCATAAAGTATTAATGTTTCATGCCAAATTATGTCAGCAAACAGCCTGACCACGTGTAAGAGTACACAGGTAATGAAATGAGGCAGTGATAAAATCATATGCATTAGTGGACATTGTAGGTTTTTCCTTATTATCTGCCATATATATGCAGTTTTGGTAAGAATTTTACACACACCCATCATGCAGGTCATGATAATCTTTTAAAATTATTTTTTGAACTGTTTCTGGATTGGATTGATTGTACTGCAGTCATCTTTTAAAAAGTTTCAAAAATTGGGTACACAAGTTTGGATGCATTTTGGAGTTTTTCTAATCCACACAGGATCAAAATACCAGTTGAAATATATGCATACACCCGACTAATATTTGATTAATTATTTGCTAAATGTCCTTTAATCGTTCATTTATTCATCCCTGGATAAGTCAAAGCAAATGGATGGGTGTATGGTTCTTCAGAAATTTGCACCTCCACTGGACTTTTGGTAGCCATCAAGAAGCTTCATTCTAATTCAAATGGGCAGAATTCCGGCTGGATATTTGCCTGCTCCTCTTGGCAGAGTTGGGAGAGTTCTTACAAATTGGTTGGTTTTACTGGCACAGATCAGGCTTGTAGGTGTAGCCCACAAATTTTCTATCAGGTTGAGGTCGGGGCTTTGGGAAAACCATTGCAGAAGCATATCCATTCCAAAACCAGTTCTGATGTGTGTTCGGGATCATTATTGGAATATCCAATTTTATACAAGTTTCAACTGTCTAGCTGTTTGAGCTAAACTTAATTTTTTTTTGAGGTAGTTCTCCTTCTTCGTTATTCCATCCACTTTTTGCAGTGTATCAGTAACCAGCAGCATGATGCTAAATAAGTTCTGAGCTTTGGTAATCCAGCAAGTGCTGCCAAATAAATCATTTTATGCATGTAAGGATAAACTACTTGTTTTAGTAAATATTCTAAACAAGAATAAGAGATAGAACCTCCTGAACCACCTTTTAAAAGATCTAAATGAGTGTTTTGTATATGTGTGATTTTTTCACAACCATTACAGATATATTGTTCAATCATTCCAGCCTTGAAAAACAACAGTATTCATCACTAAAAGCCCCACATTACCATGACATTCATGCCCATGATGAGTGTAAACGTCTGACCACCATACTATTAGCAATGATGGAACTTTTAAACAATGATGGTTTTTGTGAAAATAATCCCTACAAGGCAAAGGTCAAGGCTTCAGGGAGGCCAAATCCCTCTGAACATTCATTTTCAGACAGTTTTTTCCTGCTTGTGAATCTTTATGATGTCATTGTCATCTGATATCTGTAATAGGGTCATCTCAAGCACAGTTCTCACTGTGAGCACAGAAACCCCACACACTTGCTGGTCAAGCCTCCAATCATATGATTCTAGACTAAAATGTGTATAAAGG